ACGTGGTGGGCAGAATAATGGCCACCCAAAGATGTCCACATCCTAATCCCCAGAACCTGTGACCATGTTCCCTTACACGGCAAAAGAATTTTGCAGATGTGATGAAGTTAAGGATCTTGAGATGGAGAGATTATCCTGGATTATCCAGTGAGCCCAATGTAATCACCACAGTCCTTATGAAAATGAGGCAGAAGGGTCAGAATTGGAGGAAGAGATATGACAACAGAAGCAGGGGTCACAGACAGAGAAAGATTTGAAGATGCTCTGCAACTGGCTTTGAAAATGGAGAAAAGGGCCACAAGCCAAGGAATGCGGGCGATCTCTAGAAGCTGGAAAAGACAAGGAAACAGATTTTCCCTAGAGCCTCCAGAAGGAACACAGCACTGATGACACCTTGGCTTTTGAATTCCAGAATCATAAGATAATAAATCTGTGTTGTTTTAAGCCATTAAGTTTTCAGTAATTTGTTTCAGGAGCAATAGTTGGAGACAAATATAGTCTAGAACAGTGGCTCTCAATCTGGGGCAATTTTGCCCCCTCAGGGGACACTTGGCAATGTCTGGAGACATTTTTGGTTGTCACAACTCTAGGAGTGCAACTGGCATCTAGTGGGTAGAGACCAGGGATGCTGCTAAACATCCTACAATGCACAGGACAGCTCCCACAACAATTATCCAGCCAAACTGTCAATAGTGCTGAGGCTGAGAAACTCTGCTCTAGAATAATTCTGGTGGAATCCCAAGGAGCCCTCCCCAATCTTCTCTCCCTCTTCTCCTCTTTAAAAACAAACCTCCATGCACGCCAGAAAGAGACAGCAAAATTAGCTTACTCACTGATAAGAACAGCAACCCAAGGCTGAACCGAAGGAGATAAGGCAACACTCACTCTGCAAAGGCTCATAAAAATATCATTGCAGTACACTGTGCTCTGTTTATGTAACACTGTTATGGTGCAAAGGCTGTTTTATTGTTTTAAAAATTAGAAAAATACATTTTGGAATAGAAACACAGAATATTATAATTATAACTTCGATTAATAAAATGCACAAGAGAGCTTGAATTTTAATTTTTAATCACTTGCTGGGCACCCGTCTCATGTAGCCAGGACACTCTGTACTCCTGGCAGATCAGACCATGGATACAGCATGTCTCACTTCTCAGGGGAACTCTGTGTTTACACAGCCTCTCGGTGGCCAGACCATGTGAGCGTCTTAAACAAAAGGGGCCGTGTCTTCTTCCTCTCTAGCTCCCAGCCCAGAGCACAATGCCTGGCACACATGTTGCATGTCTCCGTAAACACATGTTGCATGAATGAATGAGCAACTGGAGAAAAGTTGGCAATTTCTGCTGATACAATGGGCACAGCAGGCGTGGAGGAGTAGAGGGTCTATTGGGTTATAATTACAAGGCGTCCGGGGGTTACTTAGCTCAAAGACATGGCTGAGATCCTGAGTAGGAAAGCCTGGATCATGGACAGGCCCTGAAAAGGCACACAAGATCAGTTTCTGGCCCAACAAGACTTTGGGGACAAACAGATCTGGATTCAAGTCTTGCCTCTGCCACTACTAGCTGAGTGACCTTGAGCAAATTACTTAATCTCTCTGAGCCTCAGCTTCCTTATCTATAAAATTCACCCATTCAACAAAGAGCAGAGTGAGCAAAGTGAAGAGGTGAGAGAGATGGCCAGGGGCCAGAAAAAGCCTTGGTGGCATAGACAGCGAGCTCTCCACCACGGATTTGTGCTCACCTCACCAGCCAGGGACTACATTTCCCAGCACCTTTTGCATCTAGGTGGGGCCATGTGACTGCATTCAGGCTAATGGAATGTGGGCAGAAGTAACCTGGCGCTGCTTCCAGGCCCATCCTGGCAGCCCATTTTCTGCACCCTGTCAGCCTCCCCTCCACTGTGATCCTGCCCTGAGACACATAGCCCAGAACAGATTCATAGCATTTCAGTATCACTTACTATGCACTTGCTACCTAACTCCTCTCAGCTCCCTGGGGGACATGGGATCCCCTCTCCCTGGGCGTGGCACACACTGTGGCCTCCATCTGGCATAGGCCCCAGCCTGCCCTCCCTACTTGTCCCCTGGCCAACTCCTCTGCTCATCCTTCGGGTCTCAGCTTAGATGTCACCTCCTCCAGGAAGCCTCCCCTGAACCCCAGGAGGTAAGCACTATTAGCTTTATCCTACAGATGAGGAAACTGAGGAACACAAAGTTTAAGTGATGTGCCCAAGATCACATGGCTAGAAAGTGGGAGATTGAGTTTGAGGCCAGTGCAGGCTGAATGCCGGGCTTTCACTCAGTCATCACTGGCTAACCCAGTCCTTCCAAAAGTGTGGTCCTGGGACCAGCAGCAGCTGCAGCAGCCTCACCTGGGAACTTGTTAGCTGTGCAAATTCTCAGGCCTGCTCCAGTCCTACTGAATTAAACTCTGGGGGTGGGTCCAACAATCTGTGTTTAAACAAGCCCTCCAGGTGGTTCTGATGGGCACTAAAGTTTGAGAACCAGTGGCCTAGAGAAATTCTCTGCAGTTGAGTCACCTGCTTTTCAGCCACTCCCGGTGGAGTTGTCGTTAAGTCTAGAAAGTGTCACACTGAAGAACTGAACACTGTCCACCCTCTGACTTTCCAGCCATTTAAAATGCTTCTCTGGGTGTTCCACAGTCCTGGGACTATGGGGACCCAGAGAATGTCATCTTCTACTTTATCATCAGCCTGTTAGTGACTCACTCCTCCCTTCGTTTGGAGGCTTCTTGCTTGTGCCCATCAGCCTTGGCTACAAGAGTTTAATCCAGCGACGCTTTAAGGCTCAAGCCTCTTTCATCCCATGGTGGTCACTATGACCACCTTCTTCTAGAACATTCTCAGTTCACTGGGGTAAGCTTCTTGGTCAGCAGAACTGATCTCCCCAACACAAAAACTTTTATTTTTTAATTAGTCCAGCCAGCTGCTATTACTTTGAATGTAGTCCTCATCATCAATTTTTTCTGCTTTAGCTTTAAGAATCAGACCAGAAAGAGTGAATCCTAGAGAATGAGCTTAAACAAATCCAAGTTTCTGCTGTTGACCCTCAATTTTCTTCCACAGTGCTCTCAGTGTCCTGGCAACCAGACACCAATCCTGCTGAAGACAGGACAAGTCGTCTTTGGGGAATCTGACCAGTGTGAGAAAAAAGGCCTAAAGACACCCTTCTCCAGTGGAACAGCCCAGCCAGATCACCCCGAGGGGAAGGCCATAGCCAACAAGCCCCACTCACACCCACAGACCATCCAAAGAGCTTACTGGAGCCCCACTCTCTTTAGCAGACAGCCACAGACCACCAGGGGAGGTGGAAAGGAGAGGCTCTGCTCCATGGTCACTCAGGGGCCCAGGCTCCTTCCAGCTTGTGGCTCTGCCTTCCTCTAGGCCCTCAGAGTCCTCCCAACTCATCTGGTAAATGGGGAAAGAGGGCGAGGTTTTTAGGGTCCAAGCTTGAGAGGGGCACACACTATTTCTGATCACATTCCATCAGCCAAAACTCAGTCATGTGGCCCACCAAAATTGTAAGGGAGCCTGGGAAATGTGTCCAGGTGATACCCCAGGAAGAAGAGAACGTGGGTATTGGTGACCAGTAGCCGTCTCTGCCACATAATACATTAAAAATATTTTTAAATCAAATTAGTGAAATATCTTTAATCAGCCAAAAAAGGACTGTCACAAAAAGCACAAAAGAAAAAAATTGTAAATTATAAAATGTACACAGTTGATCTTGTAAACTGAAACCATTTCAAGTAACCATTGGGCCCTGACTTCCTGCTTCCCCCCATCTCCTGCAGAAGATAAGAACTTGAGACCCCAGCCCAGCAATCCCTTCCTTGAGAAGGGGACTGAGAGAAGGCGGGATGGCAATCCCAAACATGTTACACCTGAATTCATGTCATCAAGAAGCTTTATTGCATTTGTTGAATTAATACACGAACAAAGGAATGAATGTAAGGTGCTGTGGAGGCCACAGAGAAGGAAGACACTTGCATACCTCTATCTCTAAACCCCACCTCCTTCCCCTAGCATCCTTTCCAGCTCAGTTCAAACATCTCCTCCTCCAGGAAGCCTTCCCCGATAACCCTCCCCCCCACACACACATCCACACAGTGGGCATTATCAGCTCCCACCTCCCTGCTCTGTACTCCCACACTTAGTCCATCTTGCTTATTAGAGTCTGCTGTTAGACCACCTTGAGCCTCGGTTTCCTCCTCAGTAAAATCAGAGGGTGGACGAGGTTACCCAATTTCTTGGCTGAGTGGCCCCAAGACAGGCAGCGCCCAGGGCCGAGGACCCAGAAGTCAGGCTCCCAGAGAGCGTCCCCACAAGGCAGACGTAGCGACCCCCCTCCCATGCAGCCCATCTGTCACACTAGGGGCGCAGCTGGGCTGCTTTCTCGCAATCCCCCCACGCTGACGCAGGCAGATCTAGGCCGGGACTTACCCAGAGGCCCCCGCCCCCGCGCCGCCACTCGCATATTAATGCCTGGCCCCTTGGCGCACTTGTCAACGGAACCTGCCAACACCCTAACTCCCGTAGCCAACAATGCAGCAAGGGCGCGTCTACACTGTCTTGGAGGTTCGGGGAATTCGGGCCTCTTATTCAGGGGCCGAGGTGGGGGATGCGGCTCCAAGCCCTGCAGAGGACAGGATGGCAGCGCTGCCCCCACCCTTTGCGGGCGCCGAGGCGCCCCGGACGGAGGCGCCCAAACTGCCTCTCCCAGCCCGCCGCGTGCCAAGTGTTTTCTCAATAGACACTGCCGTTACACTGCACAACTCCCCCATTTTACAGAAGCAAATACTGAGCTCCGAAAAGTTTAATCACAAGAGAAGCGCCCCGCACACTCTCCTTCCGCGCCGCCTCGAGCCCCACTTTCAAGCCCCAGACCCAGCGCGCTCGGGGCGCCGGCTGCACCGGGGCGCGCAGGCTTGCGGCGCGCGATCCCGGACCCCCGGCTAACCGGGGCCCGCACCTACCTCCCTCGGGCCGACAGGAGCCGCAGCCGCTGCCCACGGCCGCGAGGATCCAGACGAGTTGGCAAAGGCTCGCGGCCCGGTGCTCCAGGGTGCAGGGCGGAAGGGCCCCCCGAGAGTGCCGGGGAGCGGCGAGCGGGGCCCGGGGCCGGCGCTCCGGGGAGGCAGCGGGGGCCGCGTGGAGCGGATGGATCGATCCCAGGGCGCGGGGGGCGCGTGCCAGGGGCGCGAGCGCAGGCGACCGTCAGCGGAGCTGGGGCAGCTGCAGCGCGGGGCGTCCAGGCGTCGGATCCCGGCAGAAGCCGAGCTGGGGCTGGGGCTGGGGCTGGGGCAGGCGCCAGC